CCACCGCCAACTCTTGGGCTACTCTTTTACCAACGATAGTGGGATTGACCGTCACATTATAACGCCCCCCAGGCTGAAAGGGCGAGCATGTTTGGTGGGACGGGGATTCGAACCCGCGACCCTCAGATTGCGAGTCGAGTACCCTAACCACCTGGCCATGCCGGGCCAGCTTGTGTTTTCTGTATTCGTCGATACTATGTTAACTTGTGTTTTCTATGTTCGTGGATACTATGCTAACTTGTGTTTTCTATGTTCGTGGATACTATGTTAACTTGTGTTTTCTATTTTCGTGGATACTATGTTAACTTGTGTTTTCTATGTTCGTGGATACTATGTTAGCTTGTGTTTTCTGTATTCGTCGATACTATGTTAACTTGTGTTTTCTATGTTCGTGGATACTATGTTAACTTGTGTTTTCTATGTTCGTGGATACTATGTTAACTTGTGTTTTCTATGTTCGTGGATACTATGTTAATTTGAGTTTTCTATATTTGTGGATACTATGTTAACTTGTGTTTTCTATGTTCGTGGATACTATGTTAATTTGTGTTTTCTATATTTGTGGATACTATGTTAACTTGTGTTTTCTATGTTCGTGGATACTATGTTAGCTTGTGTTTTATTTTCATGTTTTTTTGGCTTATGAAAGAAGAAGTTAACGTCAAACTGTTGCATACATATTTTCTAGAATAAAAAACAAACAATTTTCAAAAATACACACGTTTGTTTCACCTCATAGCACAAATATCATGCCGAAAAGACAGTTATTTAGGGAACACCTAATTACTGGTGTGAGACATTACTATAAACATACAGGGGTTAACTCCTAATTACTGGTGTTGAGACATTACTATAAACATACAGGGGTTAACTCCTAATTACTGGTGTTGAGACATTACTATAAACATACAGGGGGTTAATCTTCCGATCCTATATCATGGGATGACATGTAAAACAATTAAAAGGATCTTAAGTCATGGTTGTTGGTTGTTAGAGATATCCTGCTTATCTAATATGTTAATATATGTTCCAATACTGGTAGCGTGGTAACAACAATTAACAAAGACGGACGTTAATAATTGAAAATAAATAAACTATTGAAATATTAAAATCCAAGATTTATGAAACAAAACTATAGACTAGAAGAATATTATATATATATATCTTATTAGATATTGTTCTTTTCAAAAAGAAAATGGGAAAAGGGGCCTTAAAGTACACTGAAGCAACTTTCTCGCTTAGTCAGATGAAGTGTTTAACTTTATTCAAAATTAGACACTATATTAACTTTGGACAATTACTGTAAACAGAATGGTGTGTTATAATTTCTCATTTTTAATTACAAAGAGACTTCTTCTAGTGTTGTGTAATATCACGTAACGTTACACTTGATATCAGTGTATGTTTCTTTTTTCATTCAAAGGAAACGTTTGTTATGATATCAACAACTTTCCTGATTATTTAAGTGACTACTGCTTGTTAAAGTTTCATTGTTGAGAGTGGCTTCTATTTGTTTCAGTTTTACTGTTAACACTGACCACTGTCTACTTAAGTTTCATTGTTGAGAGTGATTTCTGGTTGTTTCAGTTTTACTGTTAACACTGACCACTGTCTACTTAAGTTTCATTGTTGAGAGTGACCACTGTCTACTTACGTTTCATTGTTGAGAGTGACTTCTGGTTGTTTAAGTTTCGTCAACAGTGACCACTGTCTACTTAAGTTTCATTGTTGAGAGTGACCACTGTCTATTTAAGTTTCATTGTTGAGAGTGACTTCTAGTTGTTTAAGTTTCGTCAACAGTGACCACTGTCTATTTAAATTTCATTGTTGGCATTGACTGTTACCTTTTTTATCTTAATTGTTTAAATTAATTACAACTTTGTTTCATGTTAATTGATGTCAGTGACAACAACTTTTATGTTAATTAATGTCAGTGGCTATAACTTGTTTTACTTTAATTGTTGTCAGACATTTTATGAAAATGTCACCTTATATACGACTTTGGTTTATACGTATTCGTGGAGATTACTTGGAAAGTATTTTTAATCACATTTGATTATCATTAGATGTCAGTTATTGTATACATATTTTTGGCGACATTAATTTTTATGTCAGTTGTGAAGGAACATTGTACGAAAATCTCGTATTACGTACGCTCTTGGATAAGTTTATTTAGATTATTTGGGCAACAACTTTAACCTCGTTTGATTATCATTAGGCGTCAATTAACGTAAGCAAGTAATTTTGGGCGACTATAATTTGATTCCATTGTCAAGGAAAGGATAACAGCCATTATAAGAAATATATATATAATTAAAAAAACAACAACAAAAAACAAAAACGAAAGCAAATTTTGCCGGTTGCTAAGCAACGGATCCCAGATCGTCAGCTGGTGGTGATGGAGAGAGAGAGTGTCATTTTGCACGTACTCCAAGAAATACATCTTGTATTAAGACATGAAATTATTTCCAAGAGAAAGCTGGGCTGTTATCGTACGGGCTTGTGGATCAGAGGGTCCATGGTTCGCGTCTCGTTGTCGTAAAATCGTGCTGCTCTGCACTTTGGGGCATTATAAAAGCACAAATAGCCCATTGTTTAGCTTTATGCTTATCTCCAAAAAAACAATAACTACTCGAATAGTCTTCCTATTATTTTTAATGTTTGCTTCCTAAACGTATTTTTGTAATTCGGTGCAAGTTGTAAATGTAGATAGAAAAAATGTTACTGACGAATAACCTCAGCACGAACCTTCTACCTGGATTATAACTCCACTTCTTCCAGACGAACTAAATTTTTAAGGTTAAAATAACTTTTTATTGGTTTAACAGAGTTTAAAAGCACAACATACAATTTTAACTTCAAAGTTAAAATATTCTTATTATTAACATAATCAAGTTTTAAGGCTAACACATTAAAAATCCAGAATTTCCTCTGTTGTTCTTGCGGTGGCACTAAATATCGAGGTTTGATCCCTAGGGTGAGCACGGTACAGCTAACCCAAAGTGCAGCTTTCCGAACATTGTCTTCTAGTTGTCCATCATGTACCATGAGATTAACATATTAAAGTGATTTGTCGCGTGTCACGTTGAAAACTAAACCTTGCTGTCTTGCACAAAGCTTTACAGTATCCCACACGTTTCTTTCACATTGAACATTTCCCTGGCAATACAATTTAAATAAATGTGTATCATTATTTCAACATTGGAAGTTGTAAATTATCGCTTGCTACAGAATCACACCATCCACAAAATAAATCCAGATGTGTCTTTAAATACAACCATTTCAGTACAGAAACTTTGTGTTTTATTTTTATCTTCTCCGGATGTTACCTTCCATAAAGAGTCTAATAATCTCCAAGAATCGTCTTGATGTATAAAAGTTATGAGCCGCCAAAAGCTTAAAAAGAGATATTATTAACCGTGTGTCTTCAGGTACTATCTTGCGACATCAAGGAACTGCTGAGGTTCTCTGGTAGTGCATGAGCCATGTTGCCAATTAAAGACTTCTCAGGAGTTTCGTAGTGCCTGTGCCTATACTTTCTGGTAACCATGGATGCCATACAGATGGTAAGGAACATTCCCGCCACAATTCCTAGCACCACAGCTATTGCTCCTTTGCTTGTGGTGTATATGCCCTGCATGATGAAATTTGCGTCTCGTGTTTGCGCATGTGCACAAGAAAGTTGGAGATAGTCCCCTTCTTCTTCATCCTTGACTGCAATGCAAAATTGGTAATTGGTATCTGGTTCAAGATTGTTGATGGTGTATGAGCGGTGGACATAGCTTACCGTTATAGTCTTATATTCTTCTCCCGGTTGGTTGTCAGTCTTGTAAAGTATGTCGTACTCTGGGAAGTTGTTTCTAGCTGTTCCATTCCACACAACGGTCACAAAAGTTGAGGATACCCTCTGAGGAAACAAACCGATGTCAACATTCTTGACTTGGAGGGTGATGTTTTTAAAGGCAACACTCACGTTGTTTTCCGCGACACACTTGTAAACTCCAGAATCCTTGGGCTTTAAGTGGTGTAGAGTTAGAGTGCCAGGATGCTTTCCTGGAGTCAGAAAATTGTTGTTTGATTCATTTAGCACAATTCCAGAGGGTAGAATCCAATGTAGTTTTGGTGGGGGAATCCCAAAAGCACGACAAGCAAACGTTTGTGACTCTCGAATCTCTGCATTGATTGTTTTGTTAAGATAACCAATCATGACTGGTTCACAAAATGGAGGTATATCAGCGAGATTCAGTGACTTAAGGGAGATCGAATCCAGTTTCTGAGTTTGAGAACACGTTAACTTGTCTGGGTCTAAGAAGACTGCGGACGAACTGTTACCTTGACCGAGTGCCTTTCGAATCCACCGGACATTACAATTACATAGAAGTGGGTTGCCGTGCAAAGTAAGATGTACGGATGGGCGTCTCTTGACGATTTCGTGACTTAGAGCTGAAAGGTTATTTCTGTGCAACAGCAAAACCCTCAGCTGTGGTACATTGATAAAAGCATGAGAGTCTACATATTGGAGAGATGGATTGTTGAAAAGATAGGCTTTTTCTAGGCTGAGAAGGTCCAAGAAGGACCCACGGTCTATCAGCTGAAGCGTAGTTGAGTTGGATAACGAAATCTCCTCTACGGGGACGTGGGTAAAGGCACCTGTGCCTAATTGAGAAATGGGATTAGCGTCCAAGCGAAGAACCCTCAAAGACCTCATGGACAGAAGAGCTACCGACGGAACTTCGGTTATATAATTGTTATCCAGTAGCAAAGTTGTTAGATTTCGAAGTCCCACAAAAGCTCTTTCGTGAATTCCTCTAATTCTGTTATGAGACAGCGAGAGATGGCGAAGATGGACTACTGCTGAGAATGTTTCGCCGTTTAGATAGAAAACCTCGTTGTGAGCGAGTTCAAGAAATTCCAAGTTCATCACATCATAAAACCACTCTGCTGATATTGAGTGAATCGAATTACCTTTTAAGTTCAAGTGTTTCATATTATTCATGTCATCAAACACTCGTTCGTCGATAAACTTCAGATGGCCGGCTGAGATGACTAATGTTTCCAACTTATGGATGCCACGGAAAACGCCATTAAGCAACGTCCGAAATCTGTTGTAGGACAGGTCAAGAAAGCGCAACTTTGTCAGGTTTTGGAAGATGGACCCACGTCCTAGTTGTTTGATTAGGTTGTTAGAAAGATCCAGCTCTAAGAGGCGTGGGAGGAACGGGATGTTGTTCAACAGATCAGAGAACTGATTTCCAGGAAGAAGAAGAGACTCAGTTGTTAGAGGTACTACACTAGGTATTTCTAGTAGGTCTCGAGATGAACAGTTCACGGTTTGAACTTTAGCGTTAATAAACAAAGATTGATGAACTAGACAGTCACATTCAATTGGACAGCTGATTTCTAAACTACTGACTACCGGCCACATGATTATCTGCAGGGTTAACCAAGTAAACATCTTGATACGACTCGTAAATAATATCTTATCGATATCGTATCTTCAGCATATTATTTTGTGAAATTGACGAAGATCCTGCAAGAAAAAGAAAAGATAAGATTTAATAACATGCAAAGAATTTTACTTAAATATCTTAATCACATTTTATAAAGTATTTACTCTGTAAATACGTAATAGAAATCGTGTCATGTTTAGATCACCTTTAACCAAGTCCAAACATATGCAAACAAAAAAACTATTAAACTCCAAACTCTAAACTTGTAGACCATGAACCGATGTAATCAGTGTACTTTTTCCTAAGCCTTATCATATTAGTTTCTTTCAATGTTTGCTCTCTCGTGCATGAAAATGATCTGCATAGCCCGTGCTGACAGGTTACACTGTGATTGGCTGTTATCCAACCAATTAGACAGTTTCAGAAAAGAATACACCTATAAATAACTGGCAATAATTCTACTCCCAGCAGTAATGTGGCGGATGCACTCATGGCTTCCTGGACAGAAATGCCACATGACGAACGTTTAAAATATCAAAGTTTTAGCTGGTGGCAACACTATGAAATAAATGTGAGACAAAATTACATGTTTCAGTGGTAACCTTATGGAAACTATGAATAGGGTTCATGAAACTATTTACTTGATAACAAAAAACGCGGAGGCACTTTTAACAACACTTTCAAAAAAATGCTTCAGATGGTATGTTTTTGCTAGCAAGAAAGTCATGTAGGAAAGTGTACGTTTCAGGGGGAGGGGGGACCAAAGGTGGATATAATCATTGCGAGTATTGTTGATTGGGGGATACCAAAGATTGAAATAATCATTGCGAGGATTGATTCTTAGTTTTAAGCGTGCTCGTCGATCTTCACAGCGTGATAACAACTCTACTAGGTGAAGACGACGAAAACTGCTTTTCTACAACATGGAAACGCTTGTTTTTTTTATTTGTTTCGAAACTTGTAGTGAAGTAAATGTATATAGAAGCTAGTAATGGAGATGTCTATTGAAATTAGTGAAACATATATTGCTTTATTTTATTCTATACACCAATTCAGGAGCTAGTCAACAGTTTGTTTTAAGCGCCAGAGGAACGTTTTTCAAATTAAAACTGAACCATTATTGTAGATTCATCCAACAAGAAAATGACAGAAATACTTACGAACGATCGTCTAAATGACATGAGGGGTCGGAGTTTGGACTTGATTACCTATGTCACTCTCCCACCCCCACCCCCCTGGGAAACCACCTATGTGTGCTCCATGCGTTATATCCGTTTATAACTGAGTAACCGCCGACCCGTTTGTAAAACCCGGCATGTATCCTTCAGGCCTCTCGGGGAGTGACGTAAGCCGGTGTTTCAGTCTCACCCACCTATGTCTTTCCCGTGCGTTGAACGGGTACGTCAGCTCGAATACAGAAAATAGAGTAACTGTTTAGTGCCTATAAAAACATTCTTATTTTCACGTCTTCCTTTTAATTAAACCATACCAAACTTAAGAGCAGATATAAATTTTAACACACAGCTCAGCCTTACTAGACTTCAGCTGGTATAATAACTTTTAAGGCACAGCTCAGCCTTACTAGACTTCAGCTGGTATAATAACTTTTAAGGCACAGCTCAGCCTTACTAGACTTCAGCTGGTATAATAACTTTTAAGGCACAGCTCAGCCTTACTAGACTTCAGCTGATATAATAAGTTTAAAGGCACAGTTCAGCTTTACCATGCTTCAGCTGATATAATAAATTATAAGACACAGCTCAGCCTTACTATACTTCAGCTGGTATAATAACTTCTAAGGCACAGCTCAGCCTTAATAGACTTCAGCTGATATAATAAATTATAAGACACAGTCCAACCTTACTAGACTTCAGTTGGTATGGAAAATCTTAAGAAAAAACCTTCGCCGGGTTTAACTTAAATTTTTAAGGGTACTACTTAGAACTATGAAATTCCCAAACACTACAAACGTTTTATGTCTTATCACCCCTTTTAAAACAGTTAGCTCACTTTAAAGTTACAAAGTTATTCAATAACTTTCATAATGCCTGTCTTGGTAGGTACTAGGTTTCACATCAAAGTTTATAGTGCATACTGGAAGGATTTACACATTGTGATAAAAGTTTAGAGAAACGACCTTTACACTACAGATGTAAATATATTTGCTTTTTATTACTACCAACGTTTCGCTTTTACACCTTCTTCAGGGTTAATACATACAAACTGTTGGTAATAATTATATAAATATATATATATATACATTTGTAGTGTAAAGGACGTTTATCTAAACTTTTATCACTAGGTTTCACAGTCTGTTAATGCGATACGTGGTAGCAGGGGTTTAGAAAAAAAAGCCTCCCATCCCCCACCTCAAACTCAAAGAATGTTTGTATAAATGACTCAGATTGGGTGTTTAACTAATATTTCATTGGATTAAACACTAAATATTTTCTTGCACTTTTATGGAAAATGAAAGTTAATAAATTATAATTTTTAAAATTTTTATTTAACTCACGAGAGCAAGTTCCCAAGAGGTCGCTCGTCTTGCTCGTGCTCAGTAATTAGGTGCTATGGGTCAGTTTTAGCGTGTATAATTAGTCAGTAAAGTGTAACCTACCTTCAGTTTCAAGCGCTGATACGTTTCTTATTTCCCAAAACATCTTGTTAAACACTCCACGGATTTAAATTTTATAGTACTACTCTATAAAAAAATATCTTATTAAAAATCTCGTTGATTCGATCGTAACGAAGCAGAACCACTAAAAGTAAAACGTACTTGGATAAGGGTTAGCAAGATCGCATGACAGTTATGGTTCAGTTTATTAGGGTTAATGTTTATGAAATACAAGGAGGCTAACTTATTAGGAATGTATTAATATTTAGACTATATTATATTTCTTTAAGCGTCATTCTCCCTTTTCTATAATAAACAGTTACTTTAAAAATAAATTTCTCAAATGGTGAAAAAATTTAGGGCATTCAGTGCAACTAACCTCTCTTCCCAGAGAAAACTTTCTAGACGGCGCTACATCCTACACAAAAGCGACAACAGCAGACGTTCGATCATGTCTATGGTAAGCTTCAACGGCGGGAAACTGCGGAAGAATACAGTAAACTCATTTATGTTGTTGTTATTGTTGTTCCGTAAGGATATTGTTGCTCTATTTTATTTTTGTAAGTTTTTGATTAACACTTAAAAAATAGAAGTAATTTTTGACGTTTATTTTGATATTATTTAAGAAGGAGTTTAAATAAACAGTTTCTTTTTTCTTAGTTTTCGGGATATCGTAATTAGTGTTAAATGCTAACAATTACGTAAAATGTTGCTCACAGATTGTTGAAGGGTACTATTTTATGCACATATTTTAGAATGTATTTGAGTTAATAACTGTTCGCCCAAACATAGGCGAAATGCCATTTCTCTAATAAACGTTTTTTAAAGCCGGTTTTTCTCTACCAGTGTAGTTTATATATTTCATCATACTGAGTGTTTCTATGTTGTTGTTTTTTAACGAAGAACATCTGATGAAATCGCTAACTGTCTAAGTAAAATACACGGGGACCACCTCTCCTTCAGTAATTAGTGGAATCAAGTACATAGGGACCATCTCTCCTTCAGTAATTAGTGGAATTAAGTACACAGGGACCACCTCTCCTTCAGTAATTAGAGGAATTAAGTACACGGGGACCACCTCTCCTTCAGTAATTAGCGGAATTAAGTACACGAGGACCACCTCTCCTTCAGTAATTAGCGAAATTAAGTACACAGGGACCACCTTTCCTTCAGTAATTAGTGGAATTAAGTGCGTATTGATGGTATTTTTTAATCAAGTTTGTTGTGTATCATATATGCTATTAGGAAACTCTGTATCCAACAAAGCCATAGACTAACAAACAATTTGATATTTAAATATTTCAGAAAAACGTGTTCAAAAACCCAATTGTGTCCACTTTCTTGGGATATTTAAGGATAAAACATAGTATCCACGAACATAGAAAACACAAGTTAACATAGTATCCACGAATATAGAAAACACAAGTTAACATAGTATCCACGAATATAGAAAACACAAGCTGACATAGCATCCACTAACATAGAAAACACAAGTTAACATAGTATGCACGAATATAGAAAACACAAGTTAACATAGTATCCACGAGCACAGAAAACACAAGTTAACATAGTATCCACAAATATAGAAAACACAAGTTAACATAGCATCCACGAACATAGAAAACACAAACTAACATAGTATCCACGAATATAGAAAACACAAGCTAACATAGTATCCACGAATATAGAAAACACAAGCTGACATAGCATCCACTAACATAGAAAACA